CACCTAATTGTATTTAACTGTAAAAAATATATAGCAAATTAAGACAAGAATTAGGAAAATCTCATTAGAAACAAAGAGTACTTAACTGTTATGAAATATCGGTTCTCCGGTATGGTGGTGAATCTAGTCACAGATGAAGAAAAGAATTGAGTCAACAGAAATATGGTTCTACAGAAGGATGCTGAGAATACTATGAACTGAACATGTGAGCAATGGTGAAGTTTTGGAGACAAAAAGGAGACATACTTAACATCAGGAAGAGACAGCTGAAATTTCTAAGGTATGTAATGAGGAAAGCGGGATTGGAAAATTTGATACTCACAGGACAGATTGAAGGCAAGGTGGACAGAGGAAAACTATGTATAAAGCAGAATAACATAAATCATATTTTTATTACTTCAAAGCGCTCAAGAAAATCCTATTTTGGAATTAAATGACTCACAAGGAATTGACATGCCGTTAAGCGACAAATCAAAGAAAGTGATGGCGTGTATAAGGTGGAATTGATGGACGTCTTTTAATATGATCTCTTGCCAGAAAATCAAACGATTTATTTGAACTAGTACTACTCTCGATTGCAAGCACTGATCGATGAAAAGCATCCGGAATTCGTTAAAAGAAAAGAGCGTAATATTTGATCAAATTAACGCTAGGGCGCGTGTTAGAACTTGGCGGGGAAGTTTTCACTCATCCACTGCTAATCAGTAGATCATCTTACTTTCAGATTACCATTTACAATATTCGGTTCTATAGAGCATTCTCTTAAGTAACGAGAAAGATTTACTTTTCTTAAATAGGGTTATTTAATGTTTTTTTTATGTAATAGTTTCCTGTGGCTAAAAAGCAGATTTGCCTTAGAAGTGGATTTCCTAATTAAAAACAGAATACGGGTTCAATTTTTTTTCGGGGGCATATTTTATTTGAATAGGCCATTTTTCAAGTCCCGGTAAAATAGACGCCAAGGCCATTCTTGCCGGTCCCAGTAAAATAGACAGCCAAGGCCATTCTTGCCGGTCCCGGTAAAATAGACACCAAGGCCATTTTTACCGGCCCCAATAACATAGACACTTGTATTCATATGCAAATCTTCACCATATAAGTAGCAAGTGATACAATTGAAGGCGAAACCAGTCCTGACCTTGAAGATTAAACGACTAGAGATATAGTAGTGAGTAGAATGTTGTAAGCTATAATTAGCTAGTATTCCCTACCATTTTCTCTAGTAGTTTAGTCTTCAAGGTCAGGATTGGTTTCACCCCCCTCCCCCCAGTTGTATCAATTGCTGTTTACATAGCGGAGATTTGCATATGAATGCAACAGACACCAAAGCTATTTTGCCGGTCCCGGTCAAATTAACAGCAAGTCTATTTTGCTGGTAAATATGAATAAGTATTTTAGAACTAAGAATATATTATATTTGAGATCATACACGCAATGGCTGTGTGACATGTGTAGGCAGGACATTAACGACATGGATTCTGTGGTCTGTGAATATTGTCTTCAGCAGGTGCACCTAAAATTTATTGGCAAGAGAACCATGCCCAAGAGAAAATTTTGGATTTGCAGAGACTGTTGCGCTTAAAATATTCAGAGACTTTTATATTTCTTTTAATAATTGATGATGAATAAATGATTTTAACTTGTGTTTTAACAATTGATTGTGGGAAAGGTGAAAACAAAAACTTCTGTGTTAAATTTGTTGTTATTTTTAACATTACATGCCTTCATAATAATAAAAAACATTTACCGCCTGGGTGTCTATTTTAGCGAGACCGGTAAAAGATGCTTATAAGCATGTTTGTCTATTTTACCGGCAAAATAGCATCTTCCTATTTCATTTCGTACGGCTATTAATGCTGGAAAACATTGATTACATTATTTTTAGACAAAAAAAAAAAAAAAAAAAAGAAAAAAGGTATATATACTCAATCAGGTGTATCCACTAAGTATGTCAGTCGTAATGCATAATTCTCTTGATGAAAAGAAATTTCATTCCTGGGAAGACTAAAAGTCAACTAGAATAGGTGTTTGCTGAGAAAAATACAAAATGTCTGGGAAGATGAAATTATGAATTTCGTTTTTCATTTCAAGCAAGGCGATAAAGCCACTAAGACGCAAAGGGGGGGGGGTATTGGGTGTGAAAGAAAGTGAGAAAGAAGTCATTGACGAGATAGAACAATGAAAGAAAGAACTGCATTCGAGAAGATGGAAGATGACGATTAACGCTGTAGTTCAAAGTTTGAAGATTAGGAGTTGGCAGAAAGGATGTGCGATGTGGCGTAATGCATATCGGTTCTGTAATGGAAAATCGGAGAGCCGAGTTCGAATTCCAATTGGGTTCATTGCATTCACTTACCTGCAAATAGCATTGAGAAATGTATGAATTCATCTTTTCTCCCCACGCTATGGGTTAAATAGTAGCACAGACTAGATGCTACAGCCTTGGTTTGCAACCAGTCTACGGCAGAAAGAAACGGCACCTTACTGCGATAAAATGTTCTGCTTAATGAATCTTGGATTGAAAGAGACATGGACTCCCAACCGTGTATCACGTATGGCGCTTAACTGACTAAGTTGGCAGGAAAGCAACAGACCGGAAGAGAGTTCCACAAGCGAGAGGTGCGAGAGATGAAACTGTTTGCATAGTTTACCTGAATGATAGTGATATCAAAAGGATAATGTCGAAAAATTAATTATTTAATAAGCCGGACGAATTTATTGGTCATCGAATATAAAGGAGGTGAATCCATAAATCCATTGCCTGACAATTACCGTATATGCTCGTGTCAACTTCACGTATTGTGCAAGCCCTGATTTTTTTACCCCCCCTCTCCCCTCGAAAAATTACCTATGTATAATGCTATTGGTTAGCGAAAATGCATGATTTTAACTTCTTTAAAAAAATAATGTCCTCTTTAGTGCACCCCATATTTTTGGTGTAAAAAAACAAACCAAAAACTGGTAATAAAAACTCGCACTATATTCAAATACATACGGTACTTATTAGTAGAAATCTGGTATGAAATGTTTACTGTATAAAGTATATGATCTGCATAACAATATTGTCAAGAAATTAAGGGCCTTGACAAAGCTGAAAACGAAATAATCGTTTTCTAAAATGCATTTTTAATCTTCGGCCTACAGAATTATTGATGTACCTGTAGATCTGGGTTATATAACATCCCTCTTGCTCTCACACATGCACACGTATGAGCATGCGCAGGAAACACACTGAAATCTCGCCAAAGTGAACAATCTCACCTTGCTATTTTGATGCAACTGAATACACATTTGAAGAATATCAAAAGGTCGTTGGAGAGCGTATTTGAAAAAAGCATAGCTATATATTTCAGATAATGTAAAAAATATAGACAGATAAGCCAACTGTTAAAAATGCTTGAAAAAAAAAAAAAAATAAAGCTAACAGGAGTTTTACTCTAGTCATTTTGATGCCTGAACAACAGTCGGAATTCAGCGTCTGTTGATAAATCGCCGATTCAACGTTATTTTTATATTCCAAAGAATATTTTAGTTGTTCTTTTGTAGGAACAATTCATTTTTTTTATTCTTAAAAAAAAAAGCAACAAGCTTGTATAATCACGTAAAAATGAGTTTATGATCCAACGATTTTATGCAGTCGTAAATGATTTTCCCTCAGCCATTTTTTCACACGCAGACCTTATCATTTGCCATTTTTCAACGCGATCTTTGTGAGTGAAATAGGTGCGTGCACACGTACATTTGAAGAAAGAAGATATCATTTCAAACGCGATCTCTTTCGATATCACATTCTGGTGTACTCGTTTACTGAAAAAAAAAAATGAATACAAAAAAGTGTTTGAAATGTACTCACTTTAATCTCTAATGCCAGATAGTTATGGTGTAGAGATATGCGTGCATTGTCATTCTCAGCGCATGCGCGTCGAACAACCGTCCGTCAGAGGTGACAAAAGAAAGAGGTTAAAGGAAATCGATGCAAGGGGAGAAAAATAAGAAAGAGAAGAGTTTTAAGGGAAGAACCGTGCGAAAGCTTGTATAGGCTACCTATTCAATTTAATGTTATTTATCAGCTACAAAGTAACAGCATTGGAAAAAAAATGGAAGTGTTACGTTAGGGGACACCTGGCCGATTTGGAACATTCTTCTCTCAGATCGCTGTAACTTTTGATGAAATTCATTCATAATAGCGCTATTATGCCCCAAACTTAATATAGAAAAGAGACTTCGTTTGGACGGGTCATGTGAATCTGAGACATTCCTTAAGTTTATTATATTATCATTTAAACATTATGGAAATAAGTGTACCCGCCTACCTCACCAGTAGGTAAGTTGTCTGATGCAAGTTTATGCTCTTGTCAGTAGGTACAGTTGTAATGAATATATTGTAATAATTGAGAAATATAACTCGACAGAAATAATAGTAGCAGAAAATCTGTAAGTAAAAAATCAGATTTTTGAGAATATAATGGACAACCAGTAAAACAAGTCCAAACATATGCGGGTCATCTTAACGATGCATTAAGTAAAGCAGAAGATTAAAAAAAAAATGGAAAAGGAAACTCTGCTGACAATGACGAGACCAGACAGAATTTTACTGACCCCCAAACCCAAGGAAATAGGAATATATTAGTAGCAAATCTTAGCCATCAATTTTTTAAAAATTTGATTGCTTATAGTAGACAATTTAACGCTTTCACTGTAGTAGATGTATATAGTTATTTTCCAAGCGTAGCTTAGATGTGGCACAATGCCGAAAGTATGGGGCATCTAGTGAGGATCGAACTCGCTTTTCAGTTGTAAGCTGATCTAGCGAGACAAGCTTGGTAACCATTACACCACGCCGAGATGCCCAAGTAGACGTATATATACCACATTAGGAAACTTACATTGCTTACTGTCGACGTATATATGCGTTTTCAAAACATTGTGAAATGTCGGTCCCTAGTATTAAAAGCTAGCGTTTAACAGGTATTTCCAAACATAATTCTAGCGTACAATGCTTACGGCCACATCACATATAAACACCAATTCTCGTACGATCACCGAAGTTAAGCAACGTCGAGTTTGGTCAGTACCAAGTTGGGTGACTGCTTGGGAATATAAGCGTGGATGTGCGGGTGGTGTAATGGATAATGGCTCAAAATTGTTAATCGGAGAGTTGGGAAAGGTAGGGATACAAAACTTCAACCACCAGATATGAGCTAACTGATAAGACTTGTATCACTAAATCATTATCACCCCCCCCCAAAAAATTCTTACAATGTAAAAATATTTTCTGGCTTTAAATAACCTGCAAAGATTTGATAATCCGTAGAAGAAGGATCAATCAATAAAATTAAACGCAAAAAGGGTTGATAAACCGTAAAAAGTCAAAACAGTCAATCAATTAACAGGCGTTGGAAAGTGAATAATTAACAATAATGTGGCACGCAAGATTGTGGTAAACGAATTGCTCATGCAAGCGTGCCAAAAGCCGGTTTTCAACAAAAGAATGGCTTGAAAATGCACATATATATAAAAAAAGCAGGTAATGTAGGTTTTATAAAGATGTATAAGTAACTCTACAGCAGCAGAAGCACAAGTCAGTTCAATTACATGTAAATACTGCTTCTGTTATCATCAAGTTAATACAAGTCATACCAACAATCATTGCCTTCCTTAACGCTTTCACTGTTGCATTGTTATTGCATTGTCGCCTGGCTGTGCTGGCCCATTTCAGGAAAAAATACTAGAAATAAATGACTATAAAGACGCTGACGGCGATTTTTTATGGGCGTCATGACACCGAAATCCGAAGACGCATTAAAATCGAAAACGATGCCTTCCAAAAGCTAAACAAAGTATTAAGAGGAGAATTTCTTTAGAAACGAAGAGTACTGAACTTTTATGCAATTTAAATATTTCTATATATATCAGTGAAGGCTGGAAATTTTTTTCTCGGAGATAGAGAGGAGACTTGCAGTAAAAGATGTTGTCCTACAGAAGAATACTGAGAATATCATGGACGGAGTATGTAAGCAAAGAGAAGAAAGAAGGTTTGGGAAATTTAACACACACAGGACATTGAAGGCAAGCGGGACAGAGGGAGACAGCGAGTAACCTACTTAACGAGCTTGTATAAATAGATGTTAGAACATGCAGTAGGAGTTGTAGTTTCGGAGAGCCATGATCACCCACGTCCAGAAGGAACACGGCTCACAGAAGCCGAAAGTTTCGACTCTTGTTGGGAACTTTTTGTTTAAAATCAGTGAGTTTTGTTTGATTGACAAATACTACGCATATTAATATCAATAAATATATAAATATATCAATAACTTTAATTTTATATCAAGAGAAAGATCAAAGCAGCCGCTTTCAAAATTTGAAACAGTTTATATTCTAGTCAATGACATAAAAATCAACTGATCCACCATTGGTTCTGTTCAATGATACAGTCACTTAGCCTCTACACATGTTCTTAAATAGCTTCGTTTGCTCTAGATTCTTATATGAACATCATGTATGGCTTTCAAGTCGTTCAGAAATGGCTAAACTATCAGCTATATACAGGGTGCGAAGGATAAATTGTCGTCTAAATTACGCAAAAATGAAAATGATACTGACATCTCATTTTAACAGATATATGCACCAAAATTACACAAAATTACCTTGACATACTAAAGAGTAAATTTATTCAATAAAATCGCTAATGGTTTCAACCGCTAACTCCAAACCACTTCGGAATCTGCTGCAACTCTTCTGGACGGCCTAAGTTGGTGAATGCTGCCATAATCCTTGTCTTCAGTTCATCTTTGGTGCTACAAGGAGTTTTGTTGGTCTCTCGCTTAACTGCACTCCACACATAATAACCAAAGAGGTTGCCAGTTTTAAGGGGTGATATGGTTGCAGAAATTGTCTGACAGCCTTGACTACGTTCTCGTCCTTGTGTGGCATGGTGCAGAGTCCTGTTGCAACCTTCTTGCCTAGAGTAGCACTACCTCCTCACGATGTAGGCCTCCGTGTTGAGTCTAAAACCCTCACCAACAAATTTAGTTCTTTTCTTATCAGAACGATTAGAGTGAGCTTTCCTGGCTGCCGTATCTTCGTAATCATCATTAGACTCATCCAACTCTTCCGAATCATCTGCAATGTCCCCAGGTTGACACCCAAACATTCTGAAATGTTTGTATGCCAAGCTATACAGCATGCCGTTTCCAAATTTCTGGCAGGGTGAATTGCGTCAGGGTGCTCGTTTTCTCATAGACGGTGCCCAACTGACCCTACTATACTGTGCAGTCGACAAAATAAAATAAAAACAACGCGCATGCGCGAAATTAAAAATATAAAATGGCGACAATTCTCCCATCGCACCCTGTACAACCGTTTTCTCAAATCGATGGTTAAAAATGGAATCGGTGGATATCACGGACTGACGCGACAAAATCACAAAGAACTTTAACGAGTAACAACGACCATGTCATTTGAAGACTCCCGACAGCCGCAACAACTAAAATGGATAGGGCATGTAACTCGAAGGGAAAATTAAAAGATATTGACATTCCGAATTACCTTAAATAAAAGGTTAGGAAGGAAACTCGAAGTAATACCAGAAGGATCGATAACAGTGGGCTTGAGAAATCTATTTTCCTGAAAAAATTGTTTTAAGAATAAGATTGTCTCCCTTTCTTAAATGTTACTTTTACACACTTATCTAATCCGATGTCTATATCGATATCATCACTGAAATATTTTAGAATATTAAAGAAACCTTTCAATTCTTCAACTTTGGCAAACCGTTTGAGGTTATCAATGAGTGATTAAATAGTTTATTTTACATCTATAGTTATTATTGTTTATGCAAAAAGTGGATTGGGAACAGAAAAAAAAACAAAAAACAAACTGGGTGACAGGGATTCTACTTGAAAAATTCTACGTCGGATAATCAAACGATTGCAAGTCGTAGTACCTTTGGCGTGATTAAGGTGTAATTTGGTTTTCCACAAATCCAGGCTAATTTTTAAAAAATTTACTATCAGCGAGGAGATTTTGTAAATTTCCAAAGCCTTAGGGCTCCAAGAGTGTGGCACATTATCAAAGGATTGACGACAACCTATCCAAGCTGTGCTTGAATTCTTTTTTCTTGCATTTTTCCAGAATCGTTTTATTTATCAATACTTGATCTTTGCAACCGTGTGAACTTTTCGGCATTCCTTCTATTCCAGAGGAAGAATTTTATTTTCATCGAGAAAAGTCAGTACAGATGTGATTAATATTATTCATTTATTTATTTAATAATAATAATAATAATAATAATAATAATCTGCAAACTTCTACGGGAAGGAAACTAAAAGAAATTGGTATGAACACCACCCAGACCCGGTTACGGGGATAGGACCTGTAAAAATTCTATGGGACTGCACAATACACACAAACAGAACAATCAAAGCTAACCGCCCAGACATTGTTATTAGAGACCGTAAACAAAAAAGTGCCTCCTTATTGATATGGAAGTCCCTGCAGACTGCAATGTATCTTTGTAGATCTTCAAAATGCTATCAAAATACAAGGACCTTGAAATCGAAATCTCAAAAATGTTGTAGTTGGAGCCCTTGGGTTGGATGGAAAAGATTCCAGTAGACAAATTGAAGGGATTTCTGGAACTCCATGCCTTAAAGAAATACAAAAATTGTTCTCAGGAGTACAGCCCATACCTTACGAAGGGCTTTATCCATGTAAAATATATTTGTTTGTTTTATTTTTTAATTGGTCAGTAGAAAATGTCACGATGCCATTTCTAACCTTAGGTCTCTGGGCTAGACCCGGAACGAAATGTGTACACACCAGAAATTGATGATGATGATGATATTATTATTATTATTATTATTATTATTAAGTTTCAAGTTTGCAAGTTTAACGGTTTTCCTATTTTAATATTTTGATAAGCCGTAATTCTTAAGTTAATGATTGAGTAAGCTCATGACAATAAAATATACATAGAAATTGCCCTGTCGCATCGTTAACAACATAGGATGTTTCGACCGTTGTACGCTCTGGTCTTCTTCAGGTGATTGGAATTTTCGAACCGAACCCTTTATTTCGTCCACCGGAGTAGATTGTTCTAGTTCCACGTACCATGCTTCTTCCGGATGTCTCAGTTATTTCCCTTGGATTCAACTCTCCAAATTTTTGTTCACCACTGCAGTAGCTAGGTATTGAACTCACAAATATTTGGGTCAAGTGACTGGATCCCACGAACGCTTTTATCTACTGGGCCTGTGTCATTGAGGACATCAGTCCGAACGATGTAAATAGTGTAAATAATTACAATACCTCCTCTCAGAAATATAGGCAGAACTTTAACAAAATATTGCAATAACAATCATAAATATGAATGCTGGTCGTTATTTTAAGAGGTGGGTACAAATGAAAAGATTTGAAATTAACAACTTTTTCCATTTCACTGAAACAGACGATAAACGCTTCTTTCTTTCCTGCTTGCTTTTTCGCTCTGAAGCCCCCCTCCTTCCCACGCGATCAAAACGGAACAGTCCATTATTTACAAGGTATTGGCAAGTGGGGACAATCGTGCGAACTAACGAAGGAATGGACAAGCCCATTTATAATAGGGTTATAATAAGGATAATAATAAATTCAGAAAATGTGTTTTGTTATAATTTAGCAGCGTTGATGGTAAACAATCCCGAGCAATCATACATTGGTTGGTATTTCTTCTGCTGATTTAGTCACTGGCACATTACATTTCTAAAAGATTTAAGCGTTTGGGAAGAGAGCCCAGGAATGCCAGGCCTGATATTCGAAAGGAGGCTAATTGGAGCGTTGCCGAGGTGTAACAGGAGAAAAGGGCAGCATTTATTGAAACCGACTGAATCTTGTTCATACGAAGCAGCGTTGAAAACGTTCTCTGTCCTGTTAAGTAAAAATTCCGAAATAAATTCTAGTTCTAGTATTTTGTCATTTGGTCCGATTTTTGGGAAATGGGTCAGGTCAATGACTTTTTAGCACCCTCTCGTAAACATCATTACGAGAAAAAAAAATGATCATAATTAGTCAATTAACTCATTTATGTGTATATGCGCACGTTTGTGTATGTGCGCGCGTGTACAT